CGACCTGCGTCCAACACACGAGGTTATTCTACTAACTTCACTAACATGGGATATCCACACCTGAGCGGCCTCGACATTCCTGATGCATTGGAAGACGGAAGCCGCCGACAGCTCTGTTAGTAAGTGATTCCCACTGATACGTAGTTTCACAACAGATGCTTTCAGGTGCCCCTATTTTTCCCAGAAAATGAAGTATAGGCACTCTCTCAACTTTCCGACATATTTCAGAATACCTGATGTGCGAGTAGCATTTCGATGGTGATGTCCTCTTTTCCGTTTTGTCCGAATTCAGGCCAGTGCTTGGTGACCAGATCTTCGTACGCCACTAGGCCACGATCAACCAGCATTGCAAAGCATATCGCGCAGACGCTCTAAAGCTACTTCACTAAATCAGATTCAGATGCCTAAACAGGAAAGTTCCTAAGCTTTTTATGTATAAAAAACATGCGGAGTTCTGCGAAATCCAGCTGTGCATGTATTGAATAGGAATGTATAAGAATTAATGAATCGAAATAATCCTGTTTGTCCGGTTTTTTTAATACATTTCTTTATATTTTATACGTACCATCATTAATGTCTTTAGTCGACTACATCTCGGAAGTTCCCCGTTTGTTTAGCCTAATGAATGAAGCATTAATTACTGATCACCTTTCCAAGCGCATTTTTCAAAAAAAAAGATCGCCTATGTGCTGTTTGGCAATGCGCAGAATAATCGAGACTGCTTTTTTGAAAATAAATCCGAAAGAGGTTGCAAAGGAACGAGCGATGAAGTGTACTTCTATGGATTTTAATGAACGGAAGTGCCTGATGTTCAAAAAGAATAATAGCCGATGAAAGTCCGTGAAAGCCTTAAGGGGATATTAAAAACTTACAAACAGGACCACTTCTCGCCCTCGAAAAATCTTATGAACAATACACTTAGCGCTCTATTAAAAAAACTTTGCAAAATTTATTTTAGTAGAACTATAAAAAAATGAAGTCCTGAATTCGTCTGGAGAGTAAAATACGAATCAGAATGCTAGATAGCCGACAGGACCCGGTTCAGGTATTTTAGTCAGACAGTGAAAGCACAGAATGTACCAGAAGCCGCTGCTTCTTAAGCAAATCTTCAAAAGACACGCAACGAACTGTAGCATGCATTTTTGCAAAAAGTTGCATCCTCTAACCTTTGTAGAGCTGAACAGCAGCGACATCGTATCGCTCTTCCACTTTCGACACGAACTCGAATCGGCATATCCACCCCACAAATCCACCACTTTC